TGAGGCACCTCAGAGCACGGCCACAGAATGGGGCGTGTGCCTTCCCGCGCTGGTGGGGATTTTTTTTTACAGCCGCAGGCGGAAGCGCCGGCGGCGGCGGGTCACGGTCGGGCTGCGGCCGTAACAAATTAGCCGGGCGCGCGCGGGGGCCGCGGATCAGGCGGCGGTGCAAGCTGCAGCCCAGGGAGTCTGAAGGGAAACAGCCACCCAGGAAGCAGGGATGACGCTGCCAAAATGGCGCGACGCACGCCCCCAGTCAAGGATCGTGTCGGTCCGACGATCACAAGGCAGTGGGGATCAGACTCCGTGCAAGAAAAGCGTCTGAGAGCCCAGGGTGTCTGCCGGGTATGAGCGAGACCGCAGGCAAGAGAGCTGACGTCGTCCAGCAGGGAGAAGGGACTCTGACAGCGCCAGCGAACCGTCGCAGCTTCAGAGTACGCATCCACGCGGCTGAAAAGGCACGCCTGAAGTCATTGACAACCGGAGTCAACCCTCAAACCAACTGCGGAAGAATGCGTTCGCACGCGAAAGATCAACGACATGATGTGACGCAGTGCAAAGGTACACCTGCTCCCGACCTTGGTGAGAGACACGACGGCCAAGCTGGTGGGGATACGCGAAGCGTCAAGAATTCACTGTGTGCGGGCGGTCCCACTGGGGGCTTCGGTTGAGCTCCCTATGGGACCACGAAGCGCTGTAGTGGGTTGGTGAAAATGCCACATTGTGTGTGTGTGCCCACCATGGATGGGTGTAAATGCCAACATGGGTTTCCGGGACGCACGCGGGCGGTCCCAGTGGGGGCTTCGGTTGAGGTCCCTATGGGGCCACGAAGCGCTGTACTGGGTAGGTGAAAATGCCAAATTGTGTGTGTACGCATGCGGGCGGTCCCACTGGGGGCTTCGGTGGAGCTCCCTATGGGGCCACGAAGCGTAATACTGGGCGGGTGAAAATGCCACATTGGGCTTCCGGGGCGCATGTGGGCGGTCCCACCGGGGTCTTCGGTGGAGCTTCCTATGGGGCCACGAAGCGCTGTACTGGGTGGGCGGAATTTCCGCCGCGGAAATGCCAAATTGTGTGTACGCATGCGGGCGGTCGCACTGGGAGTTTCGGTGGAGCTCCGTATGGGGCCACGAAGCGCTGTACTGGGTGGGTGAAAGAACGAACCAAATTGGGCTTCCGGGGCGCAGGCGGGCGGCCCCACCAGGGGCTTCAGTGGAGCTCCCTATGGGGTCACGAAACGCAATACTGGGTGTGTGAAAATGCCAAAGTGGGTTTCCCGGACGCAGGCGGACGGTCCCACTGGGGGCTTCGGTGCAGCTCCCCATGGGGCCACGAAAGGCTGTGGTGGGTGTGGGGGCGCATGTGGGCTGTTCCACCGGGGGCTTTGGTGGAGTTCCCTATGGGGCCACGAAGCGTCGTACTGGGTGGGAGGGAACTCCCTATGGGGCCACGAAACGCTGTATTGACTGGGGGACGCATGTGGATGGTGACAGTGGGGCCTTCGTTGGAGCTCCCTATGGGGCCACGAAGCGCTGTACTGAGTGGGGGGGACAAATGTGGACGGTTGCATATGGGCTTTCGGTGGAACTTCCTTTGGGGCCACGAAACGCTGCACAGAGTGGGGGGGACGCATGTGGACGGTGGCATTGGGGCATTCGGTGGAGCTCCCTATGGGGCCACGAAGCGCTGTACTGAGTGGGGGGGACGCATGTGAACGGTGGCGCTGGGGCCTTCGGTGGACGTCCCGATGGGGCCACGAAGCGCTGTACTGAGTCGGGGGGACGCATGTGGACGGTGGCACTGGGGCCTTCGGTGGAGCTCTCTATGGGGCCACGAAGCGCTGTACTGAATGGGGGGGCACGTGTGGACAGTGGCACTGGGGCCTTCGGTGGAGCTCCCTATGGGGCCACGAAGCGCTGTACTGAGTGGGGGGAGCGCATGTGGACGGTGGCACTGGGGCCTCCGGTGGAGCTCCCTATGGGGCCACAAAACGCTTTACTGAGTGGGGGGACGCATGTGGACGGTGGCACGTGGGCCTTCGGTGGAGCTCCCTATGGGGCCACGAAGCGCTGTACTGACTGGGGGGGCGCATGTGGACGGTGGCACTGGGGCCTTCGGTGGAGTTCCCTATGGGGCCATGAAGCGCTGTACTGAGCGGGGGGGGCGCATGTGAACGGTGGCACTGGGGCCTTCGGTGGAGCTCCCTATGGGACCACAAAACGCTTTACTGAGCGGGGGGGCGCATGTGGACGGTGGCACTGGGGCCTTCGGTGGAGCTCCGTATGGAGCCACGAAACGCTGTACTGAGTGGGGGGGGCGCATGTGAACGGTGACAATGGGGCCTTCGGTGGAGCTCCCTATGGGGCCACGAAGCGCTGTACTGAGCGGGGGGGGCGCATGTGGACGGTGGCACTGGGGCCTTCGGTGGAGCCCCCTATGGGGCTACGAAGCGCTGTACTGGGTGGGTGGAAAGCAGGGAAAGGGGGAAGAGGGAGGAGGGGGAAGAGAGGGAGAGGAGAAGAGGAGAACGCGGGGACCGTATCTTCAAAACGAGGGCCCAACAACACAGGCTGGCACGGAAAAGCACAGTTTTTCCAACATGTTCACGGAATTCTGCCAAACGCGCGTCTGGCGTCGCATGCCGACATCATTCGCACGCCCTTGCGCGCGTGCGGGGGGGGGGGCACGATCCGTGTCAAATCATACCATGCGAGCCACTCTCGCGCGTCGGCCGCGCGCGCATGGCGAACTCTTTCCAAAACCTTCATCACCGACGCGAAGACGCCGTCACCGTCGCCGGCGAGATCAGCATCGGCGCCCGCACTGGCCGCGCCGTCGTCGTTATCAACATCGCCATCGGCATCGCTACTGTCATCATCGTGTCTACCGTCGTCGGCGTTGCCATGATACCGCGCCCGCCCAAGTCGCCGACTCGTACTAAAGCGCCCGCTGGGGTGTGCCCAGCGGTCAGCGCCATCGCGGCCGCATCGGTCGCACCAAACTAGCTGGCCGCTGCGCGCACGTTTGGGTTGGCGCGGCCGCAGAAATGGACCAAGCCAACATCGAACACCCATCGCAATCGCCACCACATGGGTTTTGCAAACCAAGTTGCGGGTGGGTGGGTGGGATGTTTGCCAGAGCATGAGATGTGTCAAGTTGTTTGTCAAAAACAATTCTCCTTTCTAAACAAGAAATAGGTTCTACCACCCTCTCCCCCGAACAAACCCAGTCACCGCGAACCGATGCATCCTCGTCCTCCTCCTCCTCCTCCTCCTCTTCCTCCTCCTCCTCCTCCTTCTCCTCCTCCTCCTCCTCCATATCCTCCTCTCCTCCTCCTCCTCCTCCTCCTCCCTTTTCCTCCTCCTCCTCCTCCTATTCACTCCTCCTCCTCCTCCTCCTCCTTCTCCTCCTCCTCCTCCTCCTCCTGCTCCTCCTCCTTCTCCTCCTCCTCCTCCTCATCCTCCGCTCCCTCCCCCCACTCCTAGCCCTTTCGATCAGGGTCGGCGGCACCGGCCGTCAGGCCTTTCCAAAAGGTTATACCACCGTCCCCCCCGAACTGATCCAGTCACCGCGAACCGATGCAAACCACTCATGATTCTGACCCGATGTCCATCCTACCTGTGAACTCAAACAACCCCAGCCAAACCGGTATCGATCCCCCCTCGGTTCCCTTGCCAAAAAAAATGCGTGCAGTCGTTTATCAAATATCATAAGCTTTCCAAAAGTCCTTTGCTAAAAACGAAACGAAGTGCACACGCGCGCGTCGTCGCGCGCGCATGCCGGAACCGTTCGAAAAAACTTCGGTTTCGGACGGATTTCAAAATCGAGTCTCTAACAAACATGAGGACGTCCATCGGAGCACCACCAGAGGGTCCCCGAAGAGTTGGGGACCCCCCCCGCGCGACCTCCCCAAACTCAGGTTTGCCTCAGAAACCGATTGATTCCAGACGGTTCTTAAACTGATATGACAAAAAATGCATGAAATCAAACAATGCCATTTTACAACGTAACAAGACATCTAATGACATCGAATGGTGTTCTGAACTACATACCCAGAGAATTGCATGATATTCCAACGTTGCTTTGGCTATCATAACATAACAACAGGCGGCTGACGGAACGCCGACTGCTAACATCTGCACCGAAATGTGTGTCGAATCAAGCGGACGTGAGCCAAGCATCGATTCTATGAGCAGGACAATCGGCATGCATTTTGCAGCATAGAACTCTTGAGCTCTGGAATCACCTGTGATCTTTGAAGCAACTGGGAGACGGATCGGCACGGCAGTGGAGGAGGAGAGGAGAGGAGGAGGGTGAAAAAGATTTGTACGGACGGATGTAGGTAGGCAAGAGACGGATGTTGTGTATCTTGTCTGGTGCCGCTTCTTGCATCTCGCCTATCTGACTGACGCGCCACGGCCAACCCATGCGCGCGGTTAAATGCGTCAGTGCAGGAGTGGTATACAGTGCGAGCGCTCGAAGGGGAAGAGAACACAGATCGGTTCTGTTGGCCCTCCTCACCATCCCCCCCCCCCCATCGACCCTCGACCGCGTGCGAATTCCAGGAAGGAGGAGGGAGGAGGAGGAGGGCCACGAGGCCAAGAGAGTCGATCTGCGGTGTCTTCATCCCTCGCAGTGGTGGCCAGAGGGCCAGAGTTAGCAGCCAGGAAATCGCAAAACGTTGCAGAAGCGACGCCTGATTGTCGAAATGCAGCTCGGGGTTTCCTCCTCATGTATACCTCTCCTCCTCTTCTCTCTCCCCTCCTCCTATCCTCCTCTTCTCATCTTTCTCATCCTCCTCTCCTCCTTGCTTTTCCTCTCCTCCTCGTCTGAAGTGGGTGCCAGCCTGTGCTGAAGCTCCCCAGCGCAACAAGACTCGCGTGGCCTCGCCGTCGCGTGGATCGCGATGCAGCCTTGAAGTCCGGGTCATCCTCCTGCCCCTCCTCCCCCGTGCTCCTCCTCCTCCTCCTGACCAAAGCTGGCTCAGGCATCTCGCTAGCGCAAAAGATGCGCCACTATGGCTGTAGCCGCCGTGTCCTCACCGACGCGCTCCAACCTCTGGCGCTCGAGGGTGCCCTTCAAAGCTGCAGACTCGTCCCGCTTCCTTTTGATCACCTCCTCCCGGGCCGCCTCGCGTGGAAACAACGGTCGACAGAGGTCCCTGTAAACGTGACCCTCGACCTCCGTATTGATTGCCTCCACGCCCTTGACTTGCAAGTAGGGCACCTCCGAGCTGACGAACCTGTCGTCACCAGCCGACCCCTTGTAAACCACGGTGATCTGCTTCTTATGGATGGTAGTGTTGACCTCCTCCAGCTTGGACGTCGCCCGAACGAGCCACGCGGGCGTCGGTAGGGGCGCACGCGGCTCTGATGTGCCTTGCATGGGAACAATGAAGGCGCAGTACGTGCTCACTGCCCCATCCACGTCGATGTCGACGGAGCCAACTCGCACACAGAGCTTTGAAGGAGGCGTGTCGTTCGCCACCAGAAGGACATGCCCAAATAAGTGCATGGTAACTTCGGAGCGCTTCTCGCACTGGAAATTCATCGACAGACGGAATGCTCGGCCGTCTTGGGCTGGCTTCCCCGACATTGTCCGTGTCAGGCAATCGGTGTTCGTGTCTTGGATGATAGATATCTCGTGTGCCCCCTCCTGCTGATGACCCCAAGACAGAAACCAACCATCCATGAGCATCGCCGTGGCTCTGATGCCAATGTCGATCGCATGCCACGATGTCTTTCCCAGTACCGAGCTGCGCGCATGAGGCAATACCTTCTGGAATTGCAGCCCTGCTCCAAAGAAATCTCCATCTTGACTGGTATACTGCACCTTCGGCTTGTCAAAAGAAATATTGATACGCCTTTGCCCTTGCGACCCTTGCGAGTCTGACTTGACAGCGCCGTCAGCGCATTGAGATTCACCAGAGTCACCTCCCGAAGCTGGCAAGGCTGAACACGCTGGAGATGTTGAAACTGTCTCTGTTTGGAAGAAGCTCGTGACTTTCTCGCCCCACTCATTCACGAGGGTAGCTTCAGTTGACTGTCGCCTCTTCATTTTTTCAGCCACGATGTGCTTGACGAGGTCTGGCTTGATCAAGGTAGAGCACACCGCCTCGTCGAGACACTTCATTTCAATTGCCTCTGCTCGCAATTCGTTGACCCGCTTTCGCATGCATTCCTGTCTGAAAGTGTCTTCGGTACGCTTCCACTCTGCCGACGACATCCCAGAAGTCTTACCTGACATCAACTCCGAAGATCTGGTGAGAATCTTGATCCACATGTTCTTGCAATCGGCAGTCGCGCTGTTAAGCATATCGTTCCTCATAATATGCGGAGCGCAAGAGAAGCACGACTCAACTGATGCATGCAGTTGGGTGAGATTATCACGGTCGCCAGCTTCATCACTTTCAACACATTCCGCAATCGTCTTGCGCACAGCGTCAAGGCAGTCGATCGTGTAGGTCGCGCGCATGGCGAGGAAGCCTGTGAGCAATTCTTCGTTGAGGTTCGCAACTTTCTCAGCCAAAGACGAAGATCGGTCCTGCATCGCGGTATGAAGGCTGGTCTCCGCGGTCAGGTTCAGAAGGCCGGTGGGGCTCAGCGCCGACATCACCAGGTCCGGGTGGATGTATTCAGACACCAACTCGACGATGCACCCTGCGAGGCGCGAGAAGAACGGCTCGTCGTCCTTGCTGTAGAAGTAGTCCTCGACCTTCGAATGCATGCGCATCTCGTCCATCAAGCGACTCTTCACCTTCCCATATATGCCAGCGCGAAGCGGGTGTGCCTCAAGGTCGGAGCCGAGCGGATTTTCAGAAACGCATTTAACGACATCGTTGGCCGCACCAGGGTACCTTTTCAGGATGTCAGCGATGGTGGACATGCATTCCAGGATCTCTGGATCTTCCTCTTCGATATCGTCCTCGTTAGCCTTCTCATCCTGCTCTTCATGATCGGCGGGATCGGCTGGCCTAGCTGGGTCAGCGACATCATGGTGGTGGTGCAATTCTTCAATGATCAGATTGCGAAGTTTAGTGTACTGCTTGAACTTGAGCAACTGCCCAGTCTTGCTGCGATAGTACTCAGCCTCCTCTTGGATCATGAAACGCACCCCCAACGCGTACATCGACCTGGCGAATTCCACGTCCCTCTTGTCAATGGGGACGTCTTTCAGCGCATAGCAGACAGCATGAACTAGATCATCGGCGAATGTGGTATCTGGATCCTTGGAGTTCTCCACGCTGGCAGGATGTTGTTTTGCCTTTGCCTTGGTCGCCTGGGGCTTGCCACCCCTGCCTCGCCCCCTGCCGCGTCCCCTGCCTCGCCCCTTGCCGACTTGATCACCAGCTGGAACTATTGGACCAGCATCAACATCGGCGACGTCCTTGAGAACTTTAGACTTACTCATAACCTGGTTCAACCGACGAACTTTGCCAAAGTCGGCTGCGGTCTTGATCAACCATGGAAACGCATCGCTGACGTTGTTTGGGACTGTCATGCGAATCAGTGCGACGATCAAATCCGAGAACTTGTCTGTCGGAAGGATGTCCATGATCTTTTTCTGGGGCGGGTGCACGACGCTTGATCTCAAATCCGAGGATGTGAATTCGCAATGTTCTTGACACCACATGAAGAACTGATCGAACATGCCCCTGTTGATGAGCGCGCGGGCGGCGGTCTTGCATCGGTCGAAGTCCGTGAATGAGGCCCAGTAGCCAGTGTAACTGCGGGGGATGCTCGAAAACAAAACTTCTCCTCCACTCTCACTTCCTCACTTCTCCTCCGCCACCTCCTCACCACCTCCTCCGTCATCATGCCGTCCTCCTCGCATCATCCTCCTCTCCTCCTCGCCTCCTCTTCCTCCTCCTCATCCACCTCCTGCTCCTCCTCTCCTCCTCCAACCCGCCGTGTTAAGGCTAAGGGCAGTCAAGCAGTCAAAGACAGAGCCAGGTCGACGAGTTAACGCCACGTAGGACCCCAGGGCCTCAGAGCGAATCGAAAGATCGAAAGATCGGGGAGGGCTGGCATGGCCGACTTAGTTACCCACTCTCCGGGACCCCTCTTCTTTACGACACGATTGACTCCCGTGATCACTGCTTCTCCAACCACTCCCACCACTGGGTCTCGTAGCCAGCATCCTCTTCCTCAGCGGCGTCCCCGGCAAACCCTGACGCGGCGGCTTGCTTGCGATCCTTCAACTGTTTCTGACGATGAGCTTTCCACGCGGCCTCTACATCCTTCAGCTGGGCATAATTCTCGAAGAAGGGCCGCTTGTTTCCGAGGCCAACCAATTTGTTCTGGTCCTCCCTCAAGTATACCAACACATCCTTGGGGGCGTTAGGGTTGACCAATAACACCGGGCTCACTCCTGCACCCATCGAGGCCTCAACCTGCGGGTTGGAGCCTTTACAGATCTCGTGGGCCTGGTACGTGGCTTCCAACAGCGTAGCCCCCGCGATGACGTGGATCGTCCACTCACCCGACAACAGCGACGAGGGCTGACCGATAGTGGCGCCCGAGCGAGCATGCTTGACAACGCCGTCCTTGAGAATCATCCGACAGTACAGGCCCACAGTCGCCTGACTTCGGCGGTCCTTATTCATCTCGTGCCTGACGAAGGTCTTGTGGCCGTTCGTGAAGTAAGGAATCTTGTCTGGTGTTTTCGCCAGCACCCAATCATTGTCCACCTGCCAAGCTCAGGGGGCATGGACAAACAGACGGACACGCCCAGCCACGAATCACGTAGAACGAGCGAATTCCAGCTGTTGGCAACGAGGAGGGGGCCTACCCATCTTCTGCCCATATCTACACATCTTCTATCAGAGAGCCCAGGCCCCAGGAAGCGGTCGCACTCCGAAAAACAGAAGCCCCAGGGGCCCAGGGGGCACGAGGAGACGAAGCAGATGTTTTCAATGTGCAGTGAATCACATTTGGCCCTTCGGCGAGGTCCACCTTGTCGCGGAGGAGCCGCCCCGTCAATCCAGGGTAGCGCTCATTGAGACGTGTGATTTCCTTCTCCGCGACATGAGTCGGTTCCGACATCTCGCTGGCTTTGGGACTCTGAAACTCTGGAAGGAGATGCCCTGATAATGAACCCTCGAGCCTTCGAACAGGCTGCAAGAACGGTCCAGTTAAGCAATGACGACAATACGACAATGCGCTTACAGTCGGAGCTCGCCCACAAGAAACTGCCCGCAAGAAACACAACCCTGAGATCCCAGGACGCCTGCGGCATTCCTAAGGCTTAGGAATGCCGCATCTCAAGCCCAGGGGCTCCCACTGTAATGTGCCTCGCTTGAGGCTTCATGTGCTAGGTCACCTAGCTTCGGCAATAATTGACGCGCCAGTGTGATCCCGCTCTTGCGCGATTATCTTTGCACCCCTGTGGGTGGCCGAGCTGAAGGTACAATGTTACTTAGTTACTGTGTTACTCAGTTCCTCATTTGTGTAATTCGCTGCCGTTTCTCTTATATCCTATCCGTCATCCCTCCTTCCACCCTCCCCTCCTCCTCCAGTCCGCTTTGGATCAGTAACTGCAATTAATATGTTTGACTGTTTGAATGTCTCACTTGGTTTATCCCGAGCTGCAACGTTCACCGTGGCTCTGGGGGCCCGCTAAGGACTACCAGGCCTCTCAGGTTCTCAGGCTCTCAAGGTGACCGTGACGAGCCCGAGGTAGCGCCCAGCGAGAGCTCTCGCCTGAGCTTCCTGCGCATCTTGGTTAAGTCGTTGCCGAATTCATGCGCGTTCACCCGGTGTCCGAACGCCGTGACGGTCGAAGGTGCAGCAGGCGCCGGCGCCGCCGATAGTGCTGATGGACTGGACGATGCTGCGCCCGATGCACTCGCACTCGCACTAGCAGCTCTGCTATCACACGACCCTGACCCTGCACTCACTGTCTTGGAGCGAAGCCGCTTGTCGCAAACCCGGATGAGATCACCTCTGGGAATGTCCATGAGGTTGGGGTTCCGGATGATGATCCCCATGACGATGGAGCCAATGCTGGCCACGTGCATCGCATTGCCCTGCTGCCTCTTCATCGAAGTCACGGTGCGACACCCTGGGGCCGATGCAGCGTTGCAGCGCGAGAAGCAGCAAGATACGCCGCCACATGCTGCGATTGCTTCGTCACTTATCGGAAAGCCCATGGACGTGAGAAGCTCCACTGCTGAATACCACCGTGCGTGCTCTGGGTTCCACGTAAGCCCTTGTCCATGAATGAGCGTGTGCATTGGGCCGTCCACGGCTGACTTCATAGAGTGATTACCCCGCTCCTGACCCAAGTCTACTGTGTGTCCAGCGTACTTCTGACCGCCTCCACTGTAATCAAATAGCCGGCGCCTCTCGCTGATGTTAAGCGCGGCGACGAATGATCCAGGAAGGTCGGACGCATTTGCTTTCTGCAAGGCTGTCGAGTCTCGGCGCTTCGATTTATCAGTCAAAGCGAGCACTGACAAGTTGGCAATGAAGGTTGGGTCGAAGCGGTCACGTGTGCTCGTTCTGCTAGCAGCCCAATCTTTCTCCTCGTTCAACTCAGCATCTGACGAAATGAGGTAGGCATCCTGAGAACAATTCTGCAACGATCTTGCTGTGGGATTCCATGAAGGGAATGCTGTCTGTGACGGGGTTCATCATCGACATCGCTGGCGAGATCGAAGTTCTGAGCACTCCCACCAGGAACTGCCGGTGCCTGTTAGATGCCCACCCAAGTTTCGTCGGTGTGATTAAGATACGCTCGAAGGAATATATATCTCCGAGGGCCCACTCTGTCGTTTTGACGCCGAAGCTCTCGACGTTCTCCAGAACAACGACAGGTTCTCGAAGGTGACGCCGTTGCAAAGCCCAGGTGTAGAACACTTTGTTGGTTCTGCCACAATCTTTGGCTTGGGAGCCCATCGAACTGTGGTCAACACATGGAACACCTGCAACGTGTATATGGCATCGGCTGGCCTTGCACATACGCCCAGAATGAACGGTACACGCAGCACACGTCTTGATAGTTGCTGACATAATGACCGTTCGCAACCGCCTGTAGTCACTTGAAGGACTACTGTTGATCTCCTGAATTGTGGCATCGGGCAAAAAGTCCACGACGTCGGTAAAGACGCAGCCTGGAGAATGTACAGACGTAGCCAACTCGGCCCTGCATGGACCATCTTTCTCGATTGCAAATGCGTTTGAAATGCGGATGCCAGCGATGCGATCGTTGCCAATATGTGACCGCGCTGCCGACTCAACCGCTCGACATGCGATGTGGGCTGACAAGATTGGAGTATCTATTCCAGAGCAGGCTGTGGACATGATTAACTCACGTCCAGCTTTGACGCGGTCGAACAACTCTTGTGTGACGGCCGTTACGGGTTCAAGCCTACGCATGGCTTCACCTGCCCAGCGAAATGCATCATCCAACGTGCGTGCAGGGGATGAAGGATGTGGCGTACTCGCAGACATGGCGGTGAACGACTGGAGCCAAATGTGCCACAATATGGTCAGACTGTAGGGCCCAAGACAGACGTGGGAGGCTCCCAGGAGGCCCGAGAGGCCCACAGGAGGCTCCCAAGAGACGCCCAAGAAGCGCAAGAATCTCTCGGGAGGCTCCCAGGACGCCCTCAAGATGCTCTCAAGACGCCCTCAAAACACAATTGGGATGCTCACAAGTGGACCCAAGAGGCTCACAAGAGGCACCCAAGAAGCCCGCAGGAGGATCTCAACAGGCCACCAAGAGGCGCTCAAGACACTTGGGAGGCTCCCAAGAAGCACCCAAGACGCCCCCCCCCCAACGCCTCGTGCGAGCACACAAGCAAGTGCCGGCGAAACCAACAGATGGGCAAGCGGAGTGAGCGGCGAGACTGAATAACAATTGCATCAAGCGTCGCTCGATTGGGAATCACCTCAACAAACTGGCAGAGGCAGGCGAGGGCCATCTCGCCAAGCTGACAGGCCGAGTTGGGGATATCCCCCCCAAACTTCACAATCGCGAGGGGGTGCCATCTCACAGGTGAAGTTGGGGATCACCTCCCCAAACTGACAGGTCGAGTTGGGGGCCCCCTCCCCAAACTCACAGGTCGAGTTGGGGGCCCTCTCCCCAAACTGAATGGTGGAGTTGGGGATCCCCCCCCCAAACTCATGGATCGAGTTGGGGACCCCCTCCCCAAACTCACAGGTCGAGTTGGGTGCCCCCTCCCCAAACTGAATGGTGGAGTTGGGGACCCCCCCCCAAAAAAAAAACTCACAGGTCGAGTTGGGGCCCCCCCCCCAAACTGATCGGTTGATTTCCCCCCCCCCCCCCCCCCCCCCCCCCAAACTCACAGGTCGAGTTGGGGGGCCCCCTCCCCAAACTGAAACGGTGGAGTTGGGGCCCCCCTCCCCAAACTCACAGGTCGAGTTGGGGACCCCCTCCCCAAACTCACAGGTTGAGTTGGGCACCCCCTCCCCAAACTCACAGGTCGAGTTGGGGACCCCTCCCCAAACTGAACGGTTGTGTTGGGGGCCCCCTCCCCCCAGACTCAGTGTCGAGTTGGGACCCCCTCCCTTGATGGGGATTTGGGCCCCCCCCAACTCAGTCGAGTGCCCCCCCCACCCCCCCCCCCCCCAAACTCACAGGTCGAGTTGGGGCCCCTCCCCAAACTGAACGGTGGAGTTGGGGGCCCCCCCCCCAAACTGAACGGTTGAGTTGGGGGCCCCCTCCCCCAAACTGAACGGTTGAGTTGGGGGCCCCCTCCCCAAACTGAACGGTGGAGTTGGGGGGCCCCATCCCCAAACTGAACGGTTGAGTTGGGGATCCCCTCCCCGAACTGAATAGTGGAGTTGGGAACCCCTGCCCAAACCTCATCATCACGATTGGGGATCCCCCTCCCCAAACTGAACGGCCGATGCGGGACCCCCCCCCCCCCCCCAAACTCAGCAGTCGAGTTGAGAGCCGCATCCCCAAACTGAACGGTGCGGTCGTATCAATCTTCATGTCGTCCTCCTCTCCTCCTCCCCTCCTTTTTCTCTTATTCCTCCTCTTCCCTGGCCTTCTCCCTCATCATCTCCTGAGCTTCTCATCATCTCCTCGTGTCCTCATCGTCCCCTCAGCTCCTCAGCTACGCTGCGTGGTTCAACTCTTCGATAGATGCGACCCTCTTACACTCTCAAAAGACCTACTCATAATTGCTCAAGTCGCGTTGGATCGACTGGGCCACTGGACGACTGGACCTGTCTGTTGTCCTCTTGCCCCTGCTCCCTCCTCTTTCTCTGTCTCTTTCTCTTACCGCGTCTCCTCCTCCCCTCCTCCCCCAGAGGAGGAGGAGGAAGAGGAGGGAGGAGTGGGGGGGGGGGGGGGCGTTGAAGGGTGGGGGGGGGGGGGGGGGGGGGGTAGAGAGCGGGGGGGGGGGGGGGGGGGGGGGAGGAAGAGGGGGGGGGGGGAGGGGGAGGAGGAGGAGAGGAGGAGGAGGAGGGAAGGAGGAGGAGGAGTAAGAGGAGGAGGAGGAGGAGGAGGAAGAGCTTCTCATCGCAGCGCCAGCAGGTTCAGGTTCCACTGCTGGGCGGCTAGGCAGCCGCTGGCGCCTGGGCGTTCGCCCGCAAGTAGCTGCACCAGAGGCACACGGCATCCAACATCTCGCTGTCGCCCTTGGCGTCCTGAAATGGGCTGGGGGGCTGAGGGCGGATTCGTCCGGGGTCCGAGGGGGAGAGAGGAGGAGGGGAA